ATACTGGTCTTGCCATCTCCCGGTTTAGAAGAGAAGAAAAGACTTCGGTGTGAATTCTAGCAAAGTCATTATTCAGGCCATATCAATATCATGTACACCGCACTTTGATTACATGTACTTTGTGGCAAAAAAGACTGTGCGCTTAATTCTGCTATTGGACAGGTACACATTTTTTCTCAGGATGCTGGACGAACTTATTTTGAGATACTGAGCATGACATTTAGAATAGAACTCAGGGACCGTTTTAGTCCTGATGATGATTGAGTGCTGATGATGGATAATGATTGAGTGCAATTCAATCAAGTTAATTACATTTGTAAGTTACTTAGACAAACTGTTGTATTTCATGTATTAGTGGTATTAACTAAATCATCTTTAAAATAGACAAAATCTCACTAGTTTGTATTAAATGTTAAATATGATAGACTAAGCAATTTACCTCTTGTGTTTATTATCAGTTTTCCAGTTTATGGTGTCACCACGGCTCTTAATAGATATTGCATGACGTGATGTATAATATGTATAATGTATAACTTACAACTATGATTGGAACCAGACTTTCTATTGCTAAGTAATGAGGTTAAGTATGCCATGCCAAATTTTACGGCTTTTTTTTTTTTTTGCTATGGTTGTAGTTGTTAAGTGAATCACACAGTCGTTAAGGGAATCCTGCTTTCCCCATTGACTTTGCCTGTTGGAAGCTAGCTGGGAAGACCACAAATCACAAACATGTGTCCCTTGGATGCTGCTACCATTGTAAATACATGCCAGTTGCCAAGAAGCTGAATTTTGATCATGTGACTGGTTGCACTGCAAACAAAAGTGGCTGTAAATCACTTTTTTCAGTGTGATAACTTCAAAGAGACATGTTCTTATTTTCTTTTGACACCCCCCCCCCCCACTCCTTGGCCTTATTTTCGAGAAGGTGTTATTATGTTTGGGGTGCAGGAGGCTGCTGCTGTGTTGCAATATTTTCGGGGAGAGCTTATTTTAGTGTATTCACTCAAAAGCCTGATTGAGCTTATTATCCGGGGAGGTCTTATTTTCAGGGAAACAGGGTAAACGAATTGTTGTGAGTAAAAGACTACCTGTAAGAGATCAGACAACAATGTCATTTCATGTCCTGCTGTCCTGTTTAGATAAACAGCTTTGTGGTCCTGTTTTATTGTATTATATTAGTTCATGTGAGAAGAATTTGCGGTATTTATCCAGACAAAGCTATTCCAGCTGTTATGTTGTTGTTTTTTTGGCTGCGTGGTCTTCCGATTATTTCTTTTTTGTGGCTTTGCAGCTTCAGCTGATGGCAATTCTTATTGTGTAGTCACATTGAAACTTTGTTTTTTGCTTTTTTTAAAAACAACAACAAGATAATGAGCATCTGGGTATCCTCCAACGAAAGCTGAACACAACTACTTAGGGTGCCTCAATAATTGAATGAGTAAATTGGCAAAAATAAATAAATTAGCATACACTTAGCACAAAGGATCATGATATTTTATATTAAGTCAGTAACACTTGTCAGATAAGATAATTCTGTATGAATGCTGAATTGGCCACTATCTGCAATGCTAATACCACAGTCATTTCTCTCTCTTCTGCGTTCTTTTCCTACTGTTACAAGAAATCAATTCAGTGTTTTTCCCTTCCCTCTGCTGAAAGGGAAATTTACAAGGTCAAGATAAAGAAGGCAGTGTATAAAGATGAGGCAGGGATTCTGCAGGTGTAAATTTGATTCCTTTTCAGGTAGTTTGTAGTTTAACAACTGCCTCTTGCGATGGTGCTGAAAAAGATCTGCAGCCAGTCCTCAATCTTGTGGCTGTCTCAGATTCTCTGTGGTTGTGAGAGAGTGATTTTGGGTGCTTCAACACTGGGGGGCATTTAGGACAGTCGCAGCATCCCATGATCATATGAACGCCATTTGCAAACTTCATATCCAACTTCCAACAAGCAAAGTCAACGAGGAAGCCGGAAATAAGCCATGGTCATGTGAAGTCACATTTATGAACGTTGTTGATCTGCTTAACAATTGCAGTAGAACGGATGTCGTAAGTCAGCATGATCATGTAATGTTTCAGTTAACAGCTGTATTGCTTATAACAGAATTGCTGTCCCAATTACCGTTCTTAAGTGAAGACTATCTGTATCAGGTCACCATCCAATTATCCAGTCTATTTCTAAAGGTAAAGGTTCCCCTTGCACATATGTGCTAGTCATTCGCGACTCTAGGGGGCAGTGCACATCTCCGTTTCAAAGCTGAAGAGCGAGCGCCGTGGTCATGTGGCTGGTGTGACTAAATGCCAAAGGCGCACGGAACGCTGTTATTTTCCCACCAAAGGTGGTTCCTATTTTTCTACTTGCATTTTTACATGCTTTCGAACTGCTAGGTTGGCAGAAGCTGGGACAAGTAACAGGAGCTCACTCCGTTAACGCGGTGCTAGGGATTCAAACTACAGAACTGCTGACCTTTCCGGCCGACAAGCTCAGCCTCTTAGCCAATGAGCCACCGCGTCCCTCTATTATGCAGATAGAGACTTTCTTTTGACAATTTCAGCAATACATGCTAAAGCTGACTTTAAATGACTTCCTACTTCTTAAGTATCTTAGCCACTGAGCCACCGCGTCTATGTCTATTGGCACATAATTGTGCTAATTGTTCTCATTGGTTAAAACTTACATCTGTCAGGTCAGTGATGGAGAATCACCTTCTAGATATCGTAGGATTTTTAGGGTGGACTGGACTGTCAAAACCTCCACAAAATGTCCTGGTGAAGACACTTTCACAATACTGCTAAGAAAATAACACAACCGCATTAGAAGGAATTGAGTTTAGCTCCATAGAGGTTTTTTAAGTCGCATTCAACTTTGATCTGATCTTCACCTCCTTAGTCATCACCCCCCTCCCTGAATAAAAACCCCAGGGAGTAGTATTAACCACCAGACCTTGAAGACTAAGAGTATGGGAATACACACACACAAACAGAAATAGAACATGAAAAATAAACAGGAAACATACTTTTACAACTGATCTTCAGAAATATTTTGAAGTCAATTTGTTTACATTTTAAGTGGATTTTTTTCAACAGCTGAGTTTAATGAGAAATTGAGTTGGATTTATTATTTAACAGAAAATTGCTTATGATTCCTTCTAATTATTTTAGTTTTTTAAAAAAACAGTTATGATAAATAGATATGGGAGCATGTTGTCTTTTGTATATTAAGGCGCTGACATACTTCTGGATCTTTGAAAACATATGGTTGTCTAATGTTGGAGAATAGTTTTTAGTGTTAAGTATTTATTTCATAGATTAAATATATAGATATTTTATTCCTTCAGCACATTCCTTATTACTCAGTACAGTATCAGGACATATCACATATCACAATCGCATACTACATAACATATATCACAACATGTAACATACATCACATAACAATGTAGCAACACCATAAAACATTTAATAACATACTGCATTACTTTACATTACATTACATATAAATATATATTTTGCCTTCTGAAACCATGGGATAGGAAATCTTTCAGAGGGCTGCATTTTTCTGAAGGTAGCAGTGTTATTTAGCAATTCATTGGATAAGATAATTCAAAGTGTTAGGTATCATCTATAAAACATTGGCTTCAGTTATCTGCCAGACTATTCAGTTAAATTTTGTCCTTCTATCCTGTTAGTTATGTCATCTTATGGGCCCTTTGAGACATATCTGTGACCACAATTGCCCTGTCTGATAGTTTCCCACTTCCCGTCTTTATGGCATTGACCATGTGGTTGTAGGCCTAGGATATTATGGTTAGTTACACAGTCAGCAGTTTAGGCTGATTTTGCATTTTTATCCACCTATCAATTTCCTCAAAAGTACCTGGATTAGATAGACGACATTATATATTAAAGGTTTCGTCATTGTCCCAAATAAAGTTACCTTCTGAAATTGATTTGTGGTGATTTTGTCAATGCCAATATACTGTAGTAACCAAGTGGTACTCCAGATGTTTTGGGATTGAATGTAAGACACCTACCGTGTTTCCCCGAAAATAAGACAGGGTCTTATTTTCTTTTAAGCACTTGGCCTTATTTTTGGGGCAATATTATTTGAGGTGCAGGAAGTGGCGAGCATGGTCACTTCATGGCTGCTCTGTGTTGCAATATGTTTGGGGAGGTCTTATTTTAGTGCATATACTCAAAAGTCCAATTGGGCTTATTATCCGGGGAAACGAAGGTATTACTTGTGTGGTACCATCTTTGCCTTCTTTTGCAACAGTCGTTTTACTTTTATTTGCAGGTTTTTGCATTTTGTGATTTTTCTCCATTTCTTTCTCTCCACTATCCAGACTTTTTGACTTGGGGTGTTATGTGTCAGATGCCTGTCTGTTTGAATTCTAAAGTCCCAGAGCATTTTCTATGACTTGCCTATTTTGTGGCCCCACCACTCCTCGCTTGCAGACAATGTGCTATTTCTTGCAGATATTCCAATGCACCATTGTTGCTACTTTGTCATGCTGTTGTTTGTAGTCAGCCTGGGTGATCTTGCCGCAGAGTTCTGTTTTCCTCTTTGAACAGACACAGCTTATAAATGCAACAAAATAAATAAATAAACACAATGCCAGGGATAGTGCCCCGGGGCAGGAGCAGGCCCACGCACTGGCTAGAACTACCAGTTTGCGAGAACTGGTCCAAACCAGCAGCAGCCCACCTCTGAGTAAAATAGCTAATGCATTGCGACAAAAATCTTTAATACACTTGAAATATGGGCCCCTGAACTGTCATCACCATCTCTATAGGCAATTTTAATATGGAAATAAGCCGGTTCCAAACAAAACTTTGTAAATCAGCAGTTCCTTCTCTTTTCATTTGAAAACCGACACAAGCATTTTCTTCTTTTAAAAATTCGAAAGTTAAAAATGTCAGCCTTACTCTTTAAAATCTGTCTGAACATTTAGTCTCCTCATTGTCCCAAATTAAACCTTGTGTTTACTCTTCATATTTCAGTACCATCTTCCTGTGATAGGAGGCTCCTGAGAGGAAACTTCTACCTATCAATGCACGACCAATGGTAAGTCGCCAAATGTGGCTTTTTTGTGTGTTTGAAGTTGTTTTAAATAAAATTGGCTTTATAGATAGTCCTCACTTAATAACTGTCCTATTTAGTGGCTGTTCAAAGTCATGATGGCACTCAAAAAGTAACCAGAACTGTGGTTTATATTGGTTAGGTTTATGATTAATCCATCCATCCATCCATCCATCCATCCATCCATCCATCCATCCATCCATCCATCCATCCATCCTCTTTTTCTCTATTATTGGTGGAAATGGAAATTAGAATAGGTGGTAAAATGGAATGGTTTTATTGTGAATGGTTTATTAAAAGTAGAATTAAATATATTGCAATATTTGTCTTAAATACTTATGTTTTTATCCAGCTATTCTTTCTCAAAAGCTGCTCCAACACTTCGATTGCTGCTGTATTTTCTTGCCCACTAGCTTACTCCATTCTTTTAATGCCCACCCCTGCTAACAATCATTACATTTTTCCTAGTCTAGTAAATGATGTCTGACTATGATATTTTAAATCTCATTGTTCTTAAAATATGCCCAGAAGCAAGGCACTGTGATAAGGATAGGAGATTTATTTGTGTGCCTGTGGGAAGAGAATTAATTTCAGTATAAATAATACAGTCTCAGTAAAATTTAAAATGTGATCTTTCACATGGAAAGGCTAAACAATGATCTCACTTTTTAAAGAACAGGATGCAACATATTTTCACACTCTTGTGCTCCGTCCTTATGCTTTTAGCTATTTGAGGGTGTAAGAAATAGCGTGTTCAAGTCCTTTTAAAAGAACTTTTCTGGACAGTGGCCTTTCATGTTTTCTTACAAAAGTAGAGAATGTTTTGCTTTGGTTTAAGCTTTTGAAGATGCCTCTCCTTGTAGCCTCACATGTTCTCGGCTTGCAATACATGGCCATTGTTGCCTATCTTCATAGCACAATAAACAGAAAGATACAAGGATTGGTTAGGTAGTGTTATTGCTGGAGGCTAACAAACAAGTCACATTGGCCTCAATCAGAGTTGAGTGGAGAAATAAAAATATATTCTTTGAAACAAACAGTGCTGTGTAACAGTGTGCCTCCCCTAGATCAGCAACAGTGTTCTGATTTTTCAATTGCTACTCTGCTTGGATTTAATGGGGCCTTGGTTTAATATGATCTGGCAGTGGGCTGATTAGCAAGTGCTTCAATACTATTTCCTGGTTTTAGAGACCATAGCTAGGCATGATTTTCCAATGCCAGACAACGCGAATGATCAAAAGATTTATCAGTATGAGTACTCCTCAACTTGCATCAACCGTGGAAAACATGTTCAATGGTCCATAAAAGCATCTCTGGCAGTTGTAAAATATTGGGTGTGTCCCCACTCTATCCCTGTGGTCACATGACCACACTTGGCAAACCACTCTCATTTATCCCATAGTCATCTGATTTTTCCCTAGCATATGGCGTGTGTGTGTGTATATATATATATACACTATATATTGCATCTATATATATATTTGCTGACTTACAACAAAAAACCCACCACTTAGGGAGAGCAGGTTCATATTTATGACCACATGATTTGTTTAACAACATCATAAGACCAGTTGTAAAAATGGGTCTGGTCCCATGGGTCCCTTGATTTTACAATGATCATCACTTAATGACTGCAATTTCGGTCCCAGTTGCCATCGTAAGTCAAGTGAGATCTGTGATGTAAATAGCGCCAAAGGTATCCCGTATTTTGTTTATAATTTCAAATTGTTATATACCAATCGGACCTTTGCAAAATGGAACATGAGTTGGATCTTTCTAAAGCAATTCAGTTTTAAAGGTTGTACTAATCTACATCTTTCCGTTTCCCTTTGTTTTCTCAACCTTTTGCTACTTTGAGATGTACCTTTGCATCTTCTTGGATTCTCAGCAGTGACTCTGTTGTCTGGGAAGATTCAGGAGCGAAGGCTTAACTTGCTTATCAAGGAGATGTTGGTTTATCTCTTGTAGAAAACAGAAAGATAATTTCTCCTGGTGTTTGAAACTATGCTTTATGAGTATTGGTGGTAGGAGAACTGCCTATATTATCAAAAGTGATGTGAAAGTCATCTTCCTAGCCCTTAGGCCCTTCACTACCTTTCTGCCATAGATATACCCAAAGAGAAGGTAGGTCTTTTCTTCATTTGAGTAGATGGATCAATGGTGGATTAATTGTAGTATTCGCAGATACAAGTAGTCCTCGACTTACGATCACAATTGAACCCAAACTTTCCATTGCTAAGCAAAGCAGTTGTTAAGTGAATTTCCCCCCATTTTATAACCTTCATTGCAACCGTTGTTAAATGAACCCCTGCAGTTGTTAAAAGAATCATGCAGTCATTAAGCCAGTTTGGCTTTCCCTGTTGAATTTGCGTGTTGGAAACCAGCTGGAAAGGTACAAATGATGATCCCATGACCTCGGGACAGGGCAGCTGTCATAAATACAGACCAGTCACCAGGCACCCAAATTTTGATCTTGTGTCCATGGGGATGTTGCAAAGGTCATAAGGGGGAAAACCGGCCATAAGTCACTTTTTTCAGTATAGTCGTAACTTTAAGCGGTCACTAAACGGATGGTAGTGAGTCAAGTATCTAAACCAATGTTCTTTGTTCCCTCCGCTTTCAATTTCAGTTTCATAAAACAGAATAAACAAATGGGAGAAAAATGCTTTGCCTTTTAAAGTTTGTTTAAACATGTTTTTGTAACATTTAAACATGAGCCAGAGTGGTGCAACGGTTAGAGTGCAGTACTGCAGGCTACTTCTGCTGCCTGCCAGCTGCCTGCAATATGGCAGTTCACATCTCACCAGGCTCAATGTTGAATCAGCCTTCCATCCTTCTGAGGTCAGTAAAATGAGGACCCAGGTTGTTGGGGGGCAATATGCTGACTTTGTAAACCGCTTTGCGGGGGGGAGGGCTGTAAAGCACTGTAAAGTGGTATATAAGTCTAAATGCTATTGCTATTGCTAAACAACAGCAATAATGAACCCAACCTCCTTCCTCGACTCAAGCTCCACCTTAAAGGCAGTTCATAAATATTATAATATGACTCTCTTCTGTACGTGCCTTTTGCTAAAACAGGGTGTTAAAATACACGTCCAGTTAAATGAAAAAGCAAAAACAAAAAAACCACCTGCTTTACTTAAAACTTTTCAACTTTCTCAAATTGCTTTTCCCATCAGCAAGAATAAAGTGTACATGACTTCATACTTCAGTCAAGAGTTCAGGACCTTTTCACATTACTGCTTATTAAAAAAAATGACTCACTGCATCATAAAGTACGATCAGCTCAATTAAATTTTAAAATATTCGGAAGAATCTGTTGTCGTACTGTATTTTGTTCTAATTGCCACCCCCAAATAAGCATTTGCAGAGTTGCAGACTAGTTACTTAGAAAAGCAAAAAATGGATCTTTAATTGTGGCTTACAGCATGCTTTGTAGAAGGAAAATCTTTTAGAAAAGCCACTATTGTAAGAAGGTGGAGTATAAAAATAAATAAAGCAGAGGGCATTTTATGACAGAGTAACTCAAAATATAGTCTCAGGTGAAACATGCACAAAATATAATGCTGGATCAATTGTGCAATGTCACAAGAATCTCATCCATTTTTAGAACCCTTTTTAAAGGAAAAACCCTGTACAGCTTTGCAGTTACGGATAGTCCTTGATTTAGGACCATAAATAAGCCCGGAATTATGGTGGTTAGTCATGTCAATCATTAAGGGATCATATCCAATTTTGCAATCTTTTTTTGTTGCGGTCAATAAGTGAACACTGTGGTTGTTAAGTGAACCCGGAAGCAAATGCTGGCCATAAATTCACAATCTTCTTACTGTAGGTGGCTGCAAATGGCTATAAAAACACGCGGAATGTGAGCCCACTAAGAGTGTGGTGATGGGGTTGTTGGAATTTTGATACAGGGTCATAAGTACTGTAGCTCTGGGGATATCCATCATCATTTTGAACAGTTGCTGAGCAACTGGTTGTAAGTTGAAAGACTATCTGTAATACTGACTTAAATAGTTGCATCCTTAAGTTGACAGAGGCCCTCCAATAACCACAGTAATGTATTGTAGCAAAAATTTGGAGAAGGAGTGATAGGGAATATTCAGGGCTTTGAAACCCAATTGTTAGAATATCTCCCTGTTGTCTCTTAAAATTTGACTGTATGCAATTCATGACATGTAACGTAAGGACAGCCCAAGAGATAGGTGTTGTGGCAGATGAAATACTAAGATTAAATAAATGTGATGTAAGGAGCTACAAGATCCCAAAGGAGAAGCATGAAAATTTTTTCTAAAATGTCAATAAGAGTTGGAATTCTAAAAAGGGCAAGAGATAATGGATAGGTATAGAATACTTCTTAATGGGGTGGCTATCATATTAAGAAAAAAAAGCTAGAAGTTAGAAATTGGGAAAATAGTATTATGTATATTGATATAGAATAGAATACGTTATAACTACTACCCTGTTTCCCTGAAAATAAGGCCTCCCCGAATAATAAGCACAATCGGGCTTTTGAGCGCATGCGCTAAAATAAGCCTTCCCCCAAAAATAAGCCCTCCCTGAAAAAATATTGCAACACAGCACAGCCATGAAGTGACCATGCTCGCTGCTTCCTGCACCTCAAAAATAATAAGACCTTTCCAAAAATAAGGCCAAGCGCTTATTTCGGAGGTCAAAGGAAAATAAGACCCTGCCTAATTTTCAGGCAAACATGGTAAGTATACACAAATGTTAGAAGTTGAAAGATGATGATTATGCATATTTAAACAATATTACTACTATTACTACTGTGCATAAAATATAGTGAACCAGACAATACTTTGTCCACCAAGCACCTATGGATGTAAAAGAAAAAACTATGAAAAAACCCCTATAGATATAAAAAAAAGAACAGTCCAGGTGACTTTGTGCAAGGGATTGCTCATCAGAGGAGAGCCTTGTGGTGAATTATTTGGGATTTATTGCATAGTTTGTGTTCCAAG